CATGTCCACCCTTCAGTTTAATACACTGGGTGTTATCGCACAGTCAGGAATACAGAGCACAGTTGTTGTTAATTCTGCCAAAATGGACATCAGTTCTGTGGTGGCCAATGTTCTTAGAGACATCAAAAGAGGTAGTGAAGTTATCACCGGCAATAGAGATTATTATTCCAGGACTGTTTGAACAAAGGGAACCATGCAGGAATTCAGCATGGAAGCTGTTAGCAGCAAGAATTGATTGGTCCAAGAATGGTTAAGTAGAGCAGACGATTTGGCATTTAGGTCAATCATGAAGGACTATAGGTTAAGGTTGAGTAAGGCACAACATTTATTTGAAGAATTTTGTGAATGGATAGAAGAAAATGTGTGTCCGGCAAAGGTTGAGATGATAAGAATGTTTTTAGGATGGTTAAAAATAGCAGAAAAGGTGTCTTGTATGCAAGACTGTTTAGGAGTAATAGCGAAATTGCATAAACAGAAGGGGTTTGTAAATCCAGTAGAGAATGTGAATGTAAAGAAGGTAATGAGAGGAATTAAATTGGTAAGAGCTTAAGATCGTCAAGTTGACTGGCCATGAGACCCATTTCCATTGAGAGCCTTGAAATATTATCATGATGATCCACCAGATAAAGCAGATCCAGTAATTTGGTGTTGGGATTTAGTTTTAATTGCTTTGAGATTTAGGACAATGCATAGACCAGGTGAATTATGCAAATTGAAGTTAAATGATTTAAAAAGAAAGACAGATTTAATCTGGATTAAGGTCAAAAAGATGAAGAATGACCCGTTTGCAAATGGCAGATTTATGTCAATAGAATTAATTGAGAGTAGATTTTGTCTGGTGCAGTTATTAGAGAAATACTTAAGTGTGAGGTCAGAGACCGAAGTGGATAAACCTTTGTTTTTGTCTAAAAAGCAGGAAGAGATGTCAGTTTCAGCAATTTCGTCAATTGTTAAAAGAATTACTGAGCATGCAGGGATTAAGGGTCGTTTTACAGCTCATAGCTTACGTATTGGAAGTGCGACTGCAGCAATAGAAGGTGAGATGTCTTTGACTCAAATTAAGACAATCAGAAGATAGGATTTGAAAGCAGTTATTCTGTACTTAAGAACAGTAGAGACAGCATGAGGGAGGACATCAAGGAAAATGGGGTTTTAGGATTATGATTTTGGTTTGATCTGTTTAAATTATGGTTGTATAATAGTGGTGTATGTTTGCATGTTATTGTTTATGTTAAGTATGCTTGTATTGTGTAATGAGAAGAAAGCATTCGTGTCAATTTATTTTAGATTTGCAAAAAAAAAAAAAAAAAAAAGAAGAGAAGAGAAAGAGAATGTAAAAAGAGACAAGAAGAGAGAGACAGAGAGGGGAAGAAGAGAATGCAATTCGATTCTCTTGATAATTCCATTGTGTATTTCATAGTATTGTTTTAAGGGGGATCGAGTGACAAATGTAATGCCGTGAACGAAGTCACATGGCAGTCATTTGTCACGAGATCCATACCCCGTTCACTGACGTATGTCATTT